CCGGTTTAGTCGAGCTCGAACTTTCAGTCCACACCAGCCTGGATGAGACTACCTCTTGGGAGGCGAGTTTCCATCGTCTTAAACGAACTAGGGTGAATATAGCTCTTATACCAAAGATTGGGATAAACAGCTAAATCATGAGATGTTAGGCCACTCTTTTTGTCTTTGTATTTTGGTCAATTATGCTAAACGCTTGATATTCCGCTGTCACGATGTCCGTCATACGACAGACGAGAGCTTAGCAAAGATTCAGCGCAGTCGCAGGGCAGTCGGCCGAGGATGTATTCGCATAAATCCAGTTGCTGCCACAAGGCAGCTCTCCTTCGGCTTCTGGTGAGACCGACTCTTGAATGCCTTCCACTCGCCTATTCACACGACATAAAAGGTACTCAGCATCCATCACTTTCATGGCTATTCAGGTCTCATTAAATCTCAATAACCCTTGTCCAAGGTTAATCTCTCTTGTAATTACTCTAAGAAATCCTGTTCATATGAGATGTATTCCCCCCATTTCGTTCAATCTGATGAAGGATTGGTAGAAGAATTGTCCAACAATGATAAGAGTCGAGCTGACGTATCCATTCCATTTCACATTGCCTTGTTTTCCCACATTTGTTCTCATTTAGGCGGGAGTGGACTGCAGTTTCGACCTCGCCTCGGTCTTATCAACACCTCCAGCGGGAGTCGAACCGTACCACGTTAACCACTCGACCACATTGGGTCACATGACATATGTGAATTTCAAGGAAGGCCATGCCTTTTGTCATATCACATTCTTTGGTGGGATTGTCGATGCAGCAAACGTATATCTGTTATTACAATCGACTACGTTACTTTATTTTTCGCATTTATCTATTGTTTTGAGACTATCAATAAATCAGTAATATGAGATGCATTCACCCGATTTCGTTTAAGATGATGAAGGAGAATTTTCCCATAATGATATGAGTCGAGCTGACGTATCCAGTGAATTTCACATTGCCTTGTTTACACAAAAGTCGTTTTCATTCCGACTGGAGTGGACTGCAGTTTCGACCTCGCATCGGTCTTATCAACACCCCCAGCGGGAGTCGAACCATGACAGGGCAGAATGTGAGCTGGTCACATTAACCATTCGACCACATTGGGTCACATGACATATGTGAATTTCAAGGAAGGCCATGCCTTTTGTCATATCACACTCTTTGGTGGGATTGTCGATGCAGCAAACGTATATTTGTTATAACAATCGTCTACATTACTTTATTTTTGGCATTTAAGTATTGTTTTGAGACTATCAGTAAATCTGTAATATGAGATGTATTCACTGGTAGTCTCGATATAATACTTAAATGCGAAAAATAATCCAGTCCATTCTGGATAAGAATGCCTTTAGGGAAGCAAGGCTATGTGAAATGCAATGCAGACGTAAGGTCTACTCATAGCATTGTGGGAAAATTCAGCTATCACTACTTCATCACCTTAAGCAAAATAGTGTCAACACATTCATACTACGAGTTATGTCTGGTTGTTTTGTACACAGCCGGATGCACAAACACAAACACTAAAACGCATAAACACTAAGAGTTAAATGAAAAGAAACTAAGCAAATCGTCCGAAATCTATCACAATAATACTCATTATTTTTATTGAAAACTTTCATTTCTAATGAAAGTGCATGAAGAAGAGATTCGAAGGTCGATCCCACCAGAAGAGGACGGTTGATTCCCGTCATGCTGCAGCCGTTTGGCGTTAACACGACGTTCAGGTTGACGCAGTCCCTCCCTCGTTTCGAGTGAAAACTGGTTGAAATTTCGTCCATCAGTTGATGGAACTCATTCTGGCAAAAGTCTCACGTCAACAAAAGGACAAAAAGACTTTCCGCCTCTATCTTACCTCTTATATAGACTCAATTGAGCCAAAAGACAATAGAAAACCTAGTTAGATCGAGATAGAGTGGTTTGGTTAATTAACTTTCATACTGATCCTGTTACATTTGCTCGACTTTGCGTGTGTATGTGTGTGTGTCTGTGTGTGTGTCTGTGTGCGTGTGTGTGTTAGCGTCTCTACGCGATGCCGTTCCTAAATCAGAATTATCAAAACGCCAATCTCAGGCTCTGATCATCAAGCCCTAATGAACGAAGAGAAAGTCTTGACCAAGACCGCGTAAGTGCGTAAGAAAGTATAGTTGAGATAATGAAATATGAGCTTGTAAGCCGTTGCAACTCTTCAGTCAAATGTTTGCTATCCGCTAGCCTCACAATTCTGAGAATCATTGACTTCAAAATTCCAACCTTAGTCTTGTAACTATGGTTGTAAAGAAAATTAAGCCACGAGACAACATATATTGGCTTCCTATAGACATCTCTTCCTAACCTACCCTCTACTCTAATGATGAGAACATCCAAAAAAGGTAAGGACTTATTCTATTCCATTTCCATCGTGAACTCAATGCTCCTTTCACGTTGTTTGAGTGAAAGTAGGAAACTATCTAAACCGTCCTTACCATTAGGCCAGATGACGATGTAGTCATTCATGTATCTAGCCCACAATTTGGGGGTTAGCATTGCCTCTTGCAGGAAGTTTCCCTCCATTCTTGGGCCTATTTCCATTTCGAGTGAAAGTGTTTGGTGAAGAGATTCGAAGGTCGGTTCCACCAGAAGACGACGGCGGATTCCTCTTGATTTACTGGAACATTCATGCTGACGCTGTTTCCGAGGCAATCTCTTCCGATTCCGGTGAAAAGGTGCTAAGTTTTCGTGCTTCATATGACGGACATCATCAGAGCAAGGTATCATCGTCACAACAAAAATTCAAGCTAACGAGTCAAGAAAACTCACCGGAAAATCCCCAAAAAGTGGTATATATACTCAACACCTTTACTCGAAATGGAAGTAAGCTCAACAATTATGAACCGAGAGATTCCTTGAAACTCAACTTTTCTTGGAATTACTTATTCTTGATTGATAGATTGAAGGAGATAGAGGATGTTTAGTCGCCGTCAAAAAGAAGGCGACACAAATTGTCCCGACGGTGATGGTTCTAACTTCACTCACACTCGTCCAACATGTTAGATTCAGCTCATCAACCAAACCAAACGTACCAGATTAAGCAGCCCCAGTCATGCCTCTCCTTGGGATGTTAGACGTTTATGAACCTAGACTGGGAGGTTTCGTAACTTGACTTACATGCTTACAAACTCGCAACTCATTATCTCAACCATACTTGCTTATGGAATTACGCAATCTCGGTCAAGGTCTTCTGTTGGGTCATTAGGCTTTGATGATGAGAGTATGACATTAGCCGTTTGACAACTCAGATTTAGAACCCGTATTGCGTATAAACGCTCACACACACACACACACACATGTACACACTTGAACAAAATCAACAGGACCAACAAGAAAGATAATTAACCAAATCACTCTGTATCGATCTAACTAGGTTTTTAATTTTATTTTGGCTTAATTGAGTATATATTCGTAAGTGAGTAGGGTTTCGAGACTACCAGTAAATCAGTGTAATGAGATGTATTCA